CGCACTCATCAGAGGCACAATGGGATCAGCTTCTACGGACAATCTGGCCTTCATAAGATCTTCGATGTAATTATTGTTACTGTACCATGAAACGTTGGCCGCCTTCTCCTCAATATTCTGCCATGGATCTGATCCAAACCCAGAACCCCGGAGGTGAAGGAACAAGCTCATCGTGGTGAGCAGAAAGAGAAGCATTTTGGGCGTCCCTAATTTCTTCATTCTCTTCTTGTTCTGCTTCCTTTTTTTTCTGCACTGCTCGTCTTTACATAGGGAGAGCAATCGATGCTGAGAAAATAAAGATGGAACCAGTAATAATTATTATATAATTGTTACCTGTGAGAGATTATATATGGAGAATATATAAAATAATAAATCATCCTCCGTTCCTAAATATAAAACCTAATTACACAACAAAATATATCTTATATTTAAGATCAAAAGAGTATATATCAGGATAAAATCAATAACCATCTACTTATAATAGAGTTTTTATGCCACTAATCGAGCTAATCAAAATAACTTAAGTCCCCTTTGCCTCCCCCACCCCCCCCCCAAGGGAAAAAAGAAGAAATGAATTTAAAGACTATCCTAATGATACAAGATGCGCAAAAGTCTGATGGCCAATTAAGTCAGAACATATATATATATATAGAGAGAGAGAGAGAGAGAGTTTGATCGTTTGAAAAGGTAAGAAAAACACTTTGGCTGTGAAAATAAGCACAAAGTAGGAGGCACCACAAACTCCCAGTGGTATTTGTTTGAATAACTGTGGATTAGCACTAAGTGGGTTGCATATGCTCTGCTGACAACCATCATCATATATGACATTTCATGGATATACCAAGGTAATTAATGCAAACATTTCGTAAATTCATTACTAAATCTATGAGGTTGACAAAGCTAAGAATGAGTTAAATACTAAAACTCAATTTTTTTTTTAAAAAAAGTTTACGTATAAATTAAGAAGTTTGAATTTTAAATCATAAAGATTTATTTGTAAATCTTCGAAGTTTAACATGTAAATATTAAAATATTAATATTTTAGAAAAATATGTAACAGTATTGTAATTATACAGTTTAATAACTTTATTAATCTCTCCAAATTAGTTAATTATACCTTATATTAAAATCAGAGGTAATATTATTGCTAAGTTGAGAACAGAGAATACCAAATTGAAGGATGACAAATGCATGGCTAATGAGTCTTGGAAGAAGATATTTGTGGAGCCACATAAAAGCTTTTTTATTAGGAAAAAAAATACTACTTTTTATTCTAAATATAAAAATTAGTTGGAAATTCAATTTGATGCACAAAAGTGGCTTTACTAGGTAGGCAACATAAGCTAATTAGTAAAAATTTTGGAAGATGAGCTGTAAAACATCAATGATTGAATTGTAAATTCTAAAAGGGAGCGAGTTGGAGCTTCAGTTGCAACCTTAGCTAGCAACATTTGTCATTGTTTTCTCAATTCTGAGTTGGCTTAGAATAAAATAAAGAAATGAATACACACACATATAAAGTAATCCCACTTTGTTGACTAGGCCTCAAATATCAGCATTTAATTAATAACTGGTCATATTATAGCCTTATCAACACCATTACCCCATATTCATCAATTTAGTGATTAAAAATAAGATCATTAACTTTGCAACCATATTAAAGTATATGGGTACGATTTAAATTGTATAAATATTCCAACACCCCACACACAAGATAAACATGCACTGTTAAGAAAACAAACGGCCTGGAGCAGCCGATTCAACTGGAAAATCCAGCCAGTGGTTTGGTTTGGTTTAAACACTAAACCAGTTAGAAAGTGAACCGATATCAATCTGGTCAAACCAAGGGGATAACCGATTTGGATGATTATATTGTTATTGGTTTCATTTTTCTCATTCAACTCCTCAATATTTTAGTCACTGTATATTTGAATGAATTTTAATAATGATTTTGGTATTAATGATTGATAATTTTACTTATTGAGAAATTATAAGGATCAAAATTCTTAATGTTGTTATACATTGTTATTGTTACAATCAAATTATTGCTGCATTTTCTTATATTTTATTATTAGTGATTATTAATGTTATTATATTTTGTTTTTTCCCAACTAAATTATATTATTTTAATATGATCAGTTTGATCTCGAGTTGATCCCGGTCTGACCTCCTGTCATTGGCCCTTAAACTACTACCTTAATCAATTTAGTGTCCGGTTTAGTTTTTTGTTCCTTACCAATTAATCACTTATGCAATGATATATTGAGACATGACTCCAAATAAGTTGCTAAATTTAAAACAGATAGAAGGACACAAACTGCAAACTGGACAAGATCTGCGTAAAAAGGGTTCAAACTTGAATACACACAGTGCTTCAAAATAATAGAAAAAGAAGCATGATTTAGCCGAACGCTGTCATGAGTCTCATGTTGGGAGGACTACCTTAAAAAGACGACTTTTAAACGGTTAACTTTTGGGATGTGGTTCTTTTAAGAACTTATGCTTCTTACAAACACGCACGTAGGAGAAACAAGTTACGCTGAAAATGGATACAAGAAAAGAGAGAATAGGGATTATATGGAGCAATAAGGGAGAGATACAAAACAATATTGTGGTATTGTGGTTTGGCATTAGGAGTCCACATTCATCTAGCCATCCTTCTTTTTTTCTTCCTTTCTATCTCCACAGCCCAAATTCCACATAGCGCCATCAGTTTTCCGAAATTAGAGGATTTGAATAATTCTAACATTTAACTTAATAGACACCCGTGATAAAGAGATACAAAAATAGCATAGAATATATAAATATATATGTATAATAGCCTGGTATACTCTTTAGATTTTAATCTTTTCAATTCAATTTAAATAAGGAAACTATCTATGATACAGTAGTAAGTAAAATTAAAGTGTATATAATACAGGTATGGTGCTTCATTTATTTACTGTTGTTTTTCTCTTTAATTACTTGATGCTTTATCATTTCTTAATAAAACTCCCTTTAATTCTCTTCCTTGAGTAGGGTTGTTGAATTGATTTTGGTGCACTAATATAAGTTCTGGAAGAGACACATTAATTCATCTTGTTGGGGAAATCCAATATGACCCTTGTCAATATCCAATAAGTGTGTGTATGTGTGTCTCTAGATATTAATTAGTGTTAACATCCAAATGTGTCAATAGTCCTTTTTTTAAAATTTTCTCATAAATTGACCTTGTATCATGTAATTTAATGTTGTTAAATTCTCATTCAATAATTTAATTTAATTAATCGCGTGTCTCTGAACTATGCGACGAAAACAGTGCGCAAAATTAATGGTTCTTCAAAAATTCAAAAATGACATCATTTTCCATTTCCACTCTTTGAAACTCAGATAATTACCGATTATTCTATGATGATCTATATCAATAGTACTAGTAGCATGAATAATTATGTGAAAGCAAAGATGTGGGCAGCATCTTGATACCACTCGAAACGGTAAAAAAAAAAAAAAAGAATCGAAAAAATTTAAAAATTGGATCTATGTCCAATGGGCCTTTCCATATTAATTTTCTAAGCAACCAGTTTTAATTTGACAGGTTGCTTGTAAAAGTTGCTTCATCCGGAAAAAAAAAACAAATACTACCTCTTGTCCTTAATATAAAAATTAAGGAAAACCATATTGGAGGTACCTATACTTTTTTTCAATTTTCAATTTGGTACCTATGTGTTTTTTGTTCTTAACTAAATCTTTATTTTTCCTCTATTAACATCATTAATCCTTATGTAAAGACTAAAAATATCAATAGAACAAAGTTATAAGAGCTAATGTTGCTAAAAAGATAAAATTAAATATTTAATTAAAGGGGAAAAACATATAGGTACCAAATTAAAAATTGAGAGAAAGTATAGGTACCTCCAATATGGTTTTCCCTAAAAATTAATTAAGAATTGGATATGATATAAAATATAAGATTTTAATTCACTTTATCTCTAAATTTACAATTTATTTTTTTAAATATTCCTATTAATTATATATGTCAAGGGGTTTTAATTCAAGGAGAGCCATGATTAAAAGAGGTACTTTAAGAAAATCAATTAATATTGGTTAAAATTACTAACTTAACTAATTTTCTTAATGAATTAGTTAGTAGCTCTTATATTAAGGATCGGAGATAGTATGTTACCTTCAGTCTTTAATATAAGACCTAGTTGACTAACTCGAGTAGATTAAAAAAAGTTTTTTAAGTTAGTTATTTCTAATAAATAGGTCTGTCTTTCCTAAAATACCATTACTAATCAATTATATTAGCTTTAATATTTAATAAAATATATAACATGTATAATTACTATAAGAACTATCTTGAAATAACATGAATAAATATGAGAGGTAAAGTGGATTAAAAATTTGAAGTCTTATATTTAAAATCAAATTGAAAATCAAACTAACTCTAAGCACCGGATCGGAGGTAGTATACACACACTCACGTCCCTGTGATTAACTGATTATGGGGTCCAGTGGGACCCTTTTGTAAAGCTTTTCTTCTTAATCATCATCAATTTGATGTGGTTTTAGGGAAATAAAAGAAAATCATACATTTATCCATGCCACTCTGCTAATCAGACATCGAAAACCAACAAGAGATTCGAACTTGAATACACAAGAACGCTGCAACGATCATGATCAAAGAAGAATCCCATACATATACATACATACATATATGTATGTATATAATACACTAGAATACGTGGATCAAAATAACTATGTCTGAGGAATTAATACCACATTATTCTTAGACACTACTGTAGGAAAGGCTTAAGAGAGAGGGAAGTGAAGTCCAGCAATGTAGTAATGAGACTTAGCACCCTCTGGTATATGCGCCACAAGGTTGTTTAGTTGGGGGAGAAGCACCCTCTGGTATATGTGTCACAAGGTTGCTTAGTTTTGTCGGGAGGTGACCTTGGGCCCAGGCATTTAGTGTACTGGTCCCCACGGGGACATGAAACCGCTTGTTTGTTTTCAACTGGGGTTCCGCCCGTGACGGGGGCCTTCATTGCCGTACTCATCAGAGGCACAATGGGATCAGCTTCTACGGACAATCTGGCCTTCATAAGATCTTCGATGTAATTATTGTTACTGTACCATGAAACGTTGGTCGCCTTCTCCTCAATATTCTGCCATGGATCTGATCCAAACCCAGAACCCCGGAGGTGAAGGAACAAGCTCATCGTGGTGAGCAGAGAGAGAAGCATTTTGGGCGTCCCTAATTTCTTCATTCTCTTCTTGTTCTGCTTCCTTTGTTTTCTGCACTGCTCTTGTCTTCACATAGAGAGAGCAATCGATGCTGAGAAAATAAAGATGGAACCAGTAATAATTATTATATAATTGTTTCCTGTGAGAGATTATATATGGAGAATATATAAAATAATAAATCCTCCTCCGTTCCTAAATATAAAACCTAATTACACAACAAAATATATCTTATATTTAAGATCAAAAGAGTATATATCAGGATAAAATCAATAACCATCTACTTATCATAGAGTTTTTATGCCACTAATCGAGCTAATCAAAATAACTTAAGTCCCCTTTGCCTCCCCCACCCCCCCCCCCCAAGGGAAAAAAGAAGAAATGAATTTAAAGACTATCCTAATGATACAAGATGCGCAAAAGTCTGATGGCCAATTAATGATACAAGATGCGCAAAAGTCTGATGGCCAATTAAGTCAGAACATATATATATATATATAGAGAGAGAGAGAGAGAGTTTGATCGTTTGAAAAGGTAAGAAAACACTTTGGCTGTGAAAATAAGCACAAAGTAGGAGGCACCACAAACTCCCAGTGGTATTTGTTTGAATAACTGTGGATTAGCACTAAGTGGGTTGCATATGCTCTGCTGACAACCATCATCATATATGACATTTCATGGATATACCAAGGTAATTAATGCAAACATTTCGTAAATTCATTACTAAATCTATGAGGTTGACAAAGCTAAGAATGAGCTAAATACTAAAACTCAATTTTTTTTAACAAAAAAAATTTACGTATAAATTAAGAAGTTTGAATTTTAAATCATAAAGATTTATTTGTAAATCTTCGAAGTTTAACATGTAAATATTAAAATATTAATATTGTAAGAGGTTGATCTGTAAATCTATGAAATTTTAACTTGTAAATCTTTAATATTTGACTTGTAAATCTTTTAAAAATATTTTTTAAAATTTTAGCAATCAACACCAGCGGCCGCCACTGGTGATCTGTCAATGCCGTTTAAGACTGAGTTCTTCCTGTCATTTTATAGGAAAAATTAATTATAATCCAGTCAGTATTTTAATTTCACAAATTTTGGAAGACTTACCAAAAATTCTCTCATTTGGGACCTATTCATAGTTGTCTCTTTTTATATTAGTTAACAAACGTAGAATGTGTCATTCTACACATTCAAGAATTGGATTTGAAATAATCTCATTGATGATGAAGAGATTAGAGAGTTACCTCGTAGACTTCTCTTTGGAGTAGCTTGTCGGTCGTTATGAAAGCAGAGAAATGCTAGAACTTTCAAGAATATGGAGGTTTGCGTCAGAAGTTGATAAGATGAAGAACAATAGAGTAAAGAACTTGATGGTGAACAAAAGTGACACTACTGATGAGATGTTGGGAACACGTGGAAGATGTTATTCCTCCTATTGGGCGGATCTTGGATGCTGATAAGATGATAAGATCATAGAGTGAGCATTTGGAAGCAAGCACATCTGGTCTGAATTCAGATGATATGGGCTTTAGGCCTCTTTTCAACCCAAAAAAAAAAAATGCTGTCTGTTGTCTTCTTCTTCCCAGGGCCTCATACAATAAAATCTGCATACTTCTTTCATGCATTACAATTTATCAAGGGTTAAAGATGAAAATTTCTCCCAAAAAGTTTTCACTCAAAAATACTAGGTGCCTGCAAGTTTTTTAGTGTAAACTTATTCTGAAAAGTTTAAAATCGTAGCAAGATTGCCTTCTAATACTCAAAAGGGAAAAACTGTGACACTAAAGTTTTAGACCGTAAAACTATGATGTTAATTGTTAATATTTTTAATAGTAGTTTGCAACTTTGTTACTATTTTAAACTTACAAGATAAATTTGCACTTTAACCCATTTATCAATGCAAATCTCTCTAACCCTATATTTGGAGGGGGAAAATGAACATTATGAGGGAAAACTCTAACCCCATATAGTCCTAATTTTAGTAATTACTCCCTCTAATTTTTATTATAAGCATATTTTTAATTTTTTCCCTAAATATCCTTTGATTTGATATTCTCTAATTAATTAACTAAACAATCTCTTTTAATTCATGAATTTTATTGAGGATAATTTTAAAAATTAACAGACATGAATTACTTTTTACTGACTTTTTAAATATACGGAAAATTGTCAACAACGGATTAGACGACGGAATAATTTCACAACTTAATCCTGCATCATTTAATGTTAAATTCTTATTCAATCCAACAAATGTCAAAGCAGTTATATACAAATGTTGGACAAGATGACATCTAAAGATTGGCTTGATGCATGGCTAAACACTACTTTTTTTATGTTTAGTAACATATTTTATATACTGGTTCTGTTCGTGAGATAGAGAGAAAAGGTCTCTTTTTTGTTATATTTATAAATCACTTATGTAATTTTTAGCATGGATATATTATTTTGTCATTTGCTTATTATAATCTAGATAGTTATTTCTTTTAAAAAATATATATATTGAATAGGAATAAAATTAAAAAGTCATTATATTTTAAGAATAAATTAGTGCAGTTTATAATTTGTCTTTATGTGCGAAACACGCCGAAGATCCCGTATAAATAGGGCTAGTGGAGTAATATGAGGTCTAAAAAAATTGTTAGTAATAAGTTTTGAATAATATAGATCACTATATATTTATATTCTAGTTTAGTTTAGATGCAATCTACTCCCCCAATCCTTAATATAAGACCTATTTAACTAATTTGATTAGATTAAAAAATTAAGTAAATTAGTTAATTATAAGAAAAGTGACACGTTTTTCTTAAAACACCATAATCATTTTTCTTAATATCTCATTTTCCTCTTCTACTTTATTATGGTTGAGAGAGTATCCATATGAGTATTTAGAGAAAATTGATAAATATGAAAATTGGTCTTATAAAATTAGTCTCTTATTTAGGATCAAAACTAACTCAAGAATTAAGTTCTATATTAAGGATCGAAGGAGTATTTTGTTTAACCAAAACAAAAACAAAAACCTTTCGGCCAAGGCCGAATAGAATAACTCATTGGTTAGCTTATTTACATTTCTTCAAAGGCCAAGCACTACCACTGGTTCTTCATATAAGTTCAATAACTAGTTAAAAATTTAATTTAATCTTCAATATAAAATCTCGATTTGTTTTGTTTGTAATATTTATCTTCTTTTTTTTTCCAAATAATCCCTATTGCAGTAATTTAACATGTTAAAATGATTTCTATTAAGAAGTAGCTCTGATATATATAATTAATAATACTCCTCTGATCCTTAATATAAGACTCAATTGTTGAGTTGGTTTTGGTCCTAAATATAAGACTCATTTCTCATATTTATCAATTTTCTCTAAATTAGCTCTATGGATACTCCCTTAACCATAATCAAGTAGAAGAGGGAAATGCGGTATTAAGAAAGATGATTATTGTATTTTAAGAAAAACGTGTCACATTTTTCATAATTAACTAACTTATCTAGCTTCTTTAATCTAATCAAATTAGTTTAATGAGTCATATATTAAAGACCAGAGGAGTAATATTTTAAAAAAGACAATACTTGTTTTTTATAATTGACTAATTTAATTAATTTTTTAAATTGATTATCTAACTTTAATATTAAAAACGGGAGCTACTAACTCATTTTTTGTCAGTCTATAAATGGCCATCTTGATCCATATCACTACCGGACCTACTCATAACTAGAGCTGGGAATGCGGGCTGGCGGTGCGGATACGGGCTAGCCTGTAGCGGTGCGGGCTGGCAAAAGCTCGCCAGCCCGCCGGCCCGCCTAACTTTTTTAAAAAAAAAAAATGTTATTTTTTGTATAGGTTTGAGCTTAGTTTGTAATGTTAAAATTGAACTTGGAGTTTTAAACTTGAGTAATGAGTTATAATAAAATAATGTGAGGATTAATTTATAATTTGAGAAGATATTTTAGAAAAACTAACACATATTTTTTCTAAATAATTAATTTGACTATTTTTCTTATCCAAATTAATTAAGTAGATTTTTTATGTATGTATTATATATGCAATTACATGAATGAGAAGATGTAAATATGAAATACGGAGGTTAAAATCCTCCAATTATATTGTATAATATATTAGAAATTATATAAAAATAAAAATTAAAAAAAAAGCGGGCTAGCCTGCCAATCAGCGGGCTAGCCTGTAACGGAGCGGGTTGAAAACGGTGCGGGCTGGAGTAGCCCGCACCTTGACGGGTTGGCATTTTGCCAACCCGAGCCCGCCAAATGCCAACCCGAGCCCGCCATTTTTGGTGGGCTCGGCCCAACTCTACTCATAACACTGATTTGCAGAGTTGCTTTATCATTTAAAAATTACATTTTAAATTAAAAAAAACCTAGTAGTAAATTCACATAGTCACATAAATAGTCGCTTTATCATTGCCTGCAGAAGCAGGAAAAAATAAAAAAGGACAAGAAAGCTAACTCTCTTCTGTTCTGAGCCTCTCAAGAGCTTGTTCAGAATCCTCACTGTAGTAGTCGACTCCTGAGCATGGCATTGATTGGGTGTTCACAAATTGGCTCCCATGATCCTGAACAACAACACTGCCCATTATCAAGATGAATTTAAAAGGTAAAAATTATCAAACAGCACGAGGTCAGCATTATTACGACTGAAAACAATGAAAACACAATGCGTTGACATGATCCATTGGCCAAAAACAAGGATACTGGAAGCTTGTCCATCTTTCTGTTCTTTCTCATAAATTATCTAAGGTGGCAGCTACTAAGTAAATACCATAGGTGTAGTAATGATGTGACAGGAAATTCTCAAACATTCCGAACCGTCAGTTTTGACAAACCTTTGAGCTAGACGTGGGGGCAATTGATCGCCTCCCTACATCAATTTGTACTGAAAAGCTGGCCTCAGATAAATCAACACCTGAAGACCGCAATGCTTGCACGAAATTATCCAATATTCTGTTGAGCACAAAAACCCCACTCAATAATGGCATAGTGAAATATGGTTTCATGAGACACTTTAATGTGCCAAGAACAACTTTTGCCAAAAGCATACCAATTATTTTAGTCAACAGCAAAAAGAAGCCTAATGGAATCTATGTCATTGTAATCAACACCAAATCCTTAATGATTCATACTAGGCCACATTCCTAGAATCTTAATCTGTACAATCATCAATGCATGCATCCTGCCAATTCACTTGGCCTCAACCTTAACTACTGTGCCTAAAGGTTTGAATGTCAAAAGGCAAGGTTTTAGAATATTACACGCAGAAAGAGATTGTAAATGTATCTCAGAAAACCAAGTTATCGCACTACAGTTAAAACTCATTGTTAGTCAGTCTACATTTTTCAATTTGACATTTCAGACAAAGGTTCAAACAAGTCTGCTTCTGAGAACTTACAAAGTCAGCAATTAATAAGCCTTACATTGTTTTTAGTTTGCAGATAACGAGTAGAACTTTGTATGCAATAATTGTTTATGCCCAAAAATGGCAAACATTCTTTTATAAAATGCTAAATGGGCATGGGGGAATTCTGTTACTAGTAAATAAGCTAAATATGCACACTCAATGCCAGCTTCTAGAACAGTTACAGCCATTCACTGGTTATGTCAGTTTCAATCTAACCATAATTCCTGGGAACCAAATGAAGAAGAACTAATGTAAACTCACGAGAAACTCACCCCTGAGCATAGGCTCTTGCCTCTTGAGATGGTAACCGACTCACTTTCAAATGTCAGCTCGTCTTGATCCTTCAATGTATTATTTCGAAAATCATATGCACCCTCCTTGGGTTCACCAAGACACACGTGAGGCTGAGTATGGGAAGGTGTGTTCTGAGTGTTAGAAACTGCTTCATGTAAATGTTGGGTTGGAACGCCACTGCTCACAGCCAGATCAAACATGTCCAGCCTCATTTGCATGCCCAGGGGAACCGCATCAGAAGCTAAACCAGGGTGCCCGGCCTTATGAATAACTGTTGGTGACAAGTCAGATTCAATTGTATTCTGTGCATTTAACGGCAGTGATGGAGGGACAGTGCTATTGTTCTCATGGCCGGAACCATTCTGTATAGCCTGAGATGTGACATTATCAGTTGGTCCGCAATGATTTCTCTGATACAAAATTTTAGAGTTCCAATAAGTAAGATTTAGAGCAACTGTTTATTGTGTTAATATTCATCAGCACCTAGACAAAATAAATTATAACAATGAACACTTTATCATCCCTGAACTCACAAAAATATGCATGCAGGAAGTAGATCTACCCCAAGCTTTAAAAGGAAAAAAAAGGGTAAGGCAGACTGAGGGATGACAGAAATAACAAGTCATGGGAAGGCAAAAAAAAATATAGGGAGGAAAGCACGGAAAGGATGGAGATTGAAGTATTTTATTATGGTATTTCTGTTACTTTTCCTTCCAGCATAAAGGTGTTGCCACATGATCATTTTACAAGCAGGTGCTCACGCTGTTAAGCCACAAGATCAGTTCTGTCAACTTCCCCATAATGGCCTTCAAAGCGAAATCACTGTGCAAACTGAGGGGTTTCAAATTTGTAGGACCACATTGACAATAAGTTTATGTTTTGATGGCCAAAATGTCAAATGTATTCTTTAAAATATAGATTATTTACTACTTAAAAATATAACGCACTGTATATTCATTTCAATCAACTCACAAGAAGCTGTATTAAATCTTGCATCAAAATCACTGAAAAGCTTGAATACGCTAGCTAACATATAAGATTAAAATACAGCCATGATGAATGGGAAGACTTGGTGTTATGGTATTTAGATCAGAAAGAGAGAGGAAGAGAGATAACGAGAGAAAAGAAGCAATGTGAATGGTGCAAATATGCACCTCATTGCCTCTTATTCATAGGCATTATTCTCATTTGAATATATATCCTAATTTATCCAAATCCTACTAATATAATAATATAACCAAATGTCAACTCCCATCCAAATATGTTGAAATTTTCTAAATCTATTTAAACCTGACTAATTCTTTGTTCCTTGTTTTATTTTTATAATAATTACATGACACTTGACCACAAGCTGATAATATGGAAGCCTCCTCTTTATGTTTATAATACATCGGGACAGAGATTAAATACAAAATGAACTCCTACAGACATGATAAGAATAAGTAGTGAGTGCTGAACTTACTTCCCTTTTAGTGTGATCATCTAACTATACCCATGTGCTTTTAGCTCTAGTCTGATTCATTTATTTAAGAACTGTGATTTCAATCTTTGTTCTTCTTCTGCAGATATGTGACATGGTCTCCATTGCTAGATACTTGAATGCAACTCTCATAGTTCCAGATGTTGATAAAACCTCCTTCTGGGCTGATCCGAGGTTTGCCCTTAATTGCTTGCCATGTCTAGGATTGTCCTGATTTCTTGTTTGGAATGACCTCATGTATGTTCCTTTATTTTGCAGTGACTTTGAAGACATATTTGACGTAGATCATTTCATTACATCTTTAAGAGATGAGGTTCGGTTATTAAAGAAACTACCACCTAGGCTCAAGAAAAGAGTTGATGCAAAGCAACACTATTGAGAGTGATATATTTATTCCAACTTATGATGGGGCCATGGCTAAAGTCATGGAAGGCCACCGCAGGTGCTGTTATGCTGCCACTTGTGCCCTTTATGCTTGGTCCACAAAAGATATTTGAATCTTCAATAAACTTGGGATTTTATATCTGCATAAAGTATATAGTAGATTTGAGTCTGTTTGAAATGTTATTTTCACTTCGGCAAATCCTAATTAGATGGTGAATGAAAATCATAACTAATAGCATTTACAACCCATTCATGACTCCTTGACACTCTACAAACTTTGATCATAGTTGATACCTAAACTGTCATTTTTTTTAACCTCAATTGTGTATTCTGAAATTCAAACGTTACTTATTTCGTTTTGCTTCTCTTAATAATGCACAGATTCCTGGGATTCAAGAAGACAATACTACTAAAAAGGAAGCTGCTAGTGAACTTAATAGATCAGTACACCACAAGCTCATTAAGCTGGGATGAGTTCTCTGCTATTGTAAAGGAATTTGAAGTCTCCCAAATGGGAAGTCCCAAAACAAGAGTGGTCATACCGGAAAAACCCAAAGAAGAGGACTATTTTCATGCCAATCCACAAGAATGTTTGCAAATGTTAGATGAGGAACCATTGAGAAGCACATTATAATGCGACTCTGATTTATACTTGAATAGTGGCAATTGGTATATATATAATACATATTACTTGAGTAAGGTCCATGGTTCTTTCCAAGAAAAATTTCACGCCTTTGAGGGACAGATTTTTGTGTAAAGCAAATAGTAAATAATGTCAACAAATACTCCACTGACACTGAAGCTTATAATAACGTGAAGAAATTTCTTCAACAAATACTCCTCCATCTGTGTCATTGTTTTTTTTTTGGAACTAAACAAAAGATTAAGGGGAAATGACTAACATCACAACCCCTCTAACCTAACCAGTTTTGAAATTAATTTATGCACTCCACATTCTTTTCTTTTTATTTATTTTTTTCTTCCTCATTTCTCTCTACTTAATCCTTCATTTATTGATTTTGTATTTATTAATGCCAATCTATCAAACTCTTACTTTAAGTCCATTCCTTGGTTAGTGCTTTGAGTGGGATTCATGAATTGATTTGGATGGACGACTTGACATTTTGGGCGCCACAAACACATTTTGTTGGGCCTCCAATAAGACCGTATGTCATTCAACACACACACAGATATATGCGAACCATCAAAGATCAACATCAGCCACCTTTGAATGTGGAAGAAATTGGAGCACTCAAGAAAACTTCACCAGTGCCAACATCCAGATACAAGTGGCACACTCAATGGTCCTATGTTTATTACTCCGAATCCTTCTTTTTTATAGGTTATAAATAATTAAATTATTTAAATTAAGAAATTAATTAAAATTAGTTAAAAATAACAAGCATGTAACAGATTTTTTTTTTTTTTGCTCTTAAAACTTGTTCTAAGGTTTTTGAAGGTTTTTGCTCTTGAAAAACAAAAAACAAAAAGCAGAGCCAAACAAGCCCTAAAGTACTATATGATACCACCTCTTGTCCTTAATATAAAACCCAGTTGATTTAGTTAGGGAGATTAATAAAGTTAATAAATTACTTTAAAGTATTTATATTTATTTTTTTTTTTCAAATTAATTTGACTCACTTATAAATTGATATATAATCTAATGATACACGTGAGTATTTTAAAGAAATCATGTAATATGTGCTATAATGATGCAGTTCAATAACTTTCTTGATTTCTCCAAATTAGTTAATTAGGTCTTATATTGAGAATCAAAGGTAATACTATTGCTAGTTTGAGAAGAGAGAATGCTAAATTGAAAGATGAAAAATGCACGGCTAATGAGTCTTGGAAGAAGATAGTTGCGGAGCCACATGAAAGCTTTTGTTTGAAAAAGATATACTACTTTTTATCCTAAATATGAAAATTAGTTGGAGATCCAATTTGATACACGAAAATGGCTTTACTAGGTAGGCAACATAAGTTACTTTGTAAAAATTTTGGAAGATGAGATGTAAATCATCAATGATTGAATTGTAAATTCTAAAAGGGAGCGAGTTGGAGCTTCAGGTGCAAACCTTGAAATCTTTTCTAAACTAGCAACATTTGTCATTGTTTTCTCAATGCGAGGTGGGTTAGAATAAAATAAGGAAATGAATACACACACATATAAATTAATCCCACTTTGTTGACTAGGCCTCAAATATCAGCATTTAATTAATAACTGGTCATATTATAGCCTTATCAACACCATTACCCCATATTCATCAATTTAGTGATTAAAAATAAGATCGTTAACTTTGCAACCATATTGAAGTATATGGGTACGATCTAAATTGTATAAATATTTCACAACACACACACAAAAAAAGATAAACATGTAGTGTTAGGAAAACAAACGGATGGGATCGAGTGGCCGGTTTAACTGGAAAACTAGCCAGTGGTTCGGTCTGGTTTAAGTGCTGAATTGGTTAGAAAGTGAACCGATATCAACCTGGTTAGACCAAAAGGCTGAACCGGTGATAAATCGATTTGGGTGATTATGTTATAATTGTTTATATTTTTTCTCATTCAACTCCTTGTATATTAGTCACTGTATATTTGAATGAATTTTAATGATGATTTTGGTATTAATGATTGTTAATTTTACTTATTGAGAAATTGTAGAGATTAAAATTCTTAATATTATTGTATTTTGTTATTGTTACAAGCAAACTACTATTATATTTTCTTATATTTTATTATTAGTGATTATTAATGTTGTTATATTTCGTTTTTTTCCAACTAAATTATACTCCTCCGGTCTTAAATATAAGACCATTATATACAATACAAAAAAATCTAATATTTAGGATCGGAGAAGTATTATTTTAATATAATCAGTTTGATCTCGAGTTGACTCTAATCTAACCTACTATCACTCGCCTTTGAACTACTACCTCAATCGGTTTAGTGTTTAGTTCAGTTTTTTATTTCTTGCCAATTAATCACTTATGCAATGATATATTGAGACATGACTCCAATTAAGTTGCTAAATTTAAAACAGATAGAAGGACACAAACTGCAAGCTGGACATGATCTGCATAAAAAGGGTTCAAAGTTGAATACACACAGTGCTGCAGAATAATAGAAAAGAAGCACGATTTACCAGAACGCTATCATGAGTCTCATGTTGGGAGGACTAGCTTAAAGAGAGGACTTATAAACGGTAAACTTTTGTGATGTGGTTCTTTTAAGAACTTTTGCTTGTTACAAATACGTACACAGGAGAAACAAGTTACGCAGAAAATGGATACACGGAAAGAGAGGAATAGGGATTACATGAAGCAATGGAGAGATACAAAACAATTTTGTGGTTTTGCATTAGGAGTCCACATTCATCGAACCATCCTTCTTGTTTCTTCCTTTCTATCTCCAAAGCCCAAATGCCACATGGTGCCTTCAATTTAACATTTAACTTAATAGACGCCCGTGATAAAAAGATGCAAAAATAGCATGGAATGTGTATATATATAGCCTGGCATACTCTTTAGATTTAAATGTTTTCAATTCAATTTAAATAAGGAAACTATATCATACAGTAGTAAGTAAAATTAAAGTATATATAATATATGTATGGTGCTTCATTTATTTACTGTTGTTTTTCTCTTTAATTACTTGATGCTTTATCATTTCTCACTAAAACTGCCTTTAATTCTCTTCCTTGTTTGGTGCTGTTTGAGTGGGGTTGTTGAATTGATTTTGGTGCACTAATATAAGCTCCGGATTAGAGACACATCAATTCATCTTGTTGGGGAAATCCAATATGACCCTTCTCAATATCCAATATGTGTGTGTATGTGTGTCTCTAGATATTAATTGGTGTTAACATCCAAACGTTTCTATAGTCCTTTTTATTTTTAATTTTCTCATAAATTGCTCTTGCATCATGTAATT